GGCAGAAGCGCCTGACCTGGGCTACAGAGAAGCAGCACTGGACTGTTATATGTATATGTATATGTATATGTATATGTATATGTATATGTATATATATATATATATATATATATATATATATCACACCACTATCCATCATGGTGCAAGCACTTCCTCATCAAACTTCAGGTCTTTATGAAGCTTAAACAACGGGACATCTGTTGGTTTAAACTTTAGGGGGTCTGCCAGATGGCTGACTGAAAAACTAGCTGCTGATGGGGTGATGATGAGATATAAGAGATGGGGAGGATGAAGGACTGCTGGAGGAAAAAGTGAGGGAATAATAAATGAATAAGTAATTTAATCTTATACAATTTAAAAACTAAACCAAAATATATTGCAGTTATTTGTTTGAGTGAATTGATTAGGTGGGCTGAACAGCAATAAAAGCTCAACATGCATTTTTAATCACAAAACAGCTGCAAAAAAGAAGTTAAAAAATTTAAGTTTTAAATTTACTTCAAAAATTGTGGCGAGATGTGCAGTTCATTTGAAATAATTAGTAATATTTTAAAATAAGAGCCGTTTCTGTGTTACACTGAGGGCTGAAGTGCCGTCAGATCAGAAGATACTGGAAACGTTTCACTGCTCTAATTGTTCTACGGACTCTAAAGGTTCACATACTTCTGTTATCCACACAGAACTGTATAAACAGTTACACCAAAATAAAACTTTTATCTTGCTTCCAAGGATACAGACTTTATTTTCCAGAAAACACCTTAAACCAACCTGCATTAATGATTACATCTACATTCAGTTGACCGAGTCTACGCCAAGTTTTCAGCTACTAACAGTTTCAGATTTGTCTTGGTGCTAAAATACGATTATAATTATCACACTTTGGTGTTTGTTATAGATTCAACTGAAGAAACAGGACTAAAACAGGCTGCGGATAATAAAGTACCTAAAGATCCCATTTGTTAAGTTGCAGAGTAGAAACAAGACTGTACCGCCTCATTCATAAATAATTTAAAGTCCTACTGCACACAAGCCTTCGTGATCTTCAGGTATCAATCCATTTATGCAACGATAAACAATCGATAAACAAATCTGACGCATTTTTTACAGAATCTGATGGAGCAAACGCAACTGCTCTCACCTGCACTCGGGAGCCGCCTCCCGACACTTTGGAGATGTATCCCATGATGTATTTGGCTGCCACGGTCTTCCCTGCTCCGCTCTCTCCACTGAAAAACAAATACACTTTATCGTATTTTCCTCAAACAATACAATTTTAAATAGTTAACAGTTCACATTTATTTAGAGGCTCTCTGCCACTGGGCTACAGCTGCAGGACACCTGACAATCAGCTCAGGCATGCAGACGGTTCCTTCCTGGTTTTTAGATCAGTTATGTACCGATCACCAAAGTTTATTTGAACTCCAACTTACTGAAGTTGTGATCAACTGTGACAAACACATTTGTTAATCATTTTCAGATCCGTGCAGCACTGAAGATAAGAAGAGCTTTGGAGAACGATTCTGTTTTGTTGACATTTTGTCCATCTTCTCCCTCACCTGATCATTTTCCTCCTCGCCTCTCACTGTGCCATGGTCACACTCATGTTGCCACATGTGGTTTGGCAGCGGCTGACAAAGATTTTTTTTTTGCGCCTGTGCCTTAAAGTCGAGTCAAGCTAGCGCAGCCACTGCAACACAGCTGCAGACTGTTAAGGGGCTGCCAGAGGAAGTCATGGGAGCAGCGTTATTACATTGGAGTCTCTGTACGGCGGCTCCCTTCCCCCTAAATACCTCCCCGTTCCTACCAGATCCTTCAGCTTCATCTGGATTTCCCCCGTGCAGCTCGAAATAAAGCAAGAAAAAAGCTTCTGCTTTGTTTTTCATACCAAATACACTGATCTCCATCTGAAAGTATTGTTTCTCCTGAAAGTTACTCTTTGATGGAGCTATTTTAAGCACAAGCTTCTGTGGGAGTCCTGCCGTTTTGGCCTCAGAAACAGTGAAGTCTGAAGCCATTGTTAACGTCTGCAACAATTTATTAACCAAATAAGGGCACAAGTTACTCAATACCATGCAGAAGGAAGTATTCGGGATTAGCTTTTGCAAATTATTATACATTTAAACTGTGCAAGGAATGCGTCGCCAACACAAGATTCTAGTTTTTCTGGCAGCAGTAACCTTTAAAAAACATATTTATTTATTTTTATTTTTGCATTAATAATCCAGGACCCCACAAAAATCTTTAATAACTCAAAACTTAAAATAAGTAAAAACATAAAACTTGGAAGAGGAACCCAAATTGCCCTCTACGTTTTAGGATATAATTTTTAACCAAGATCATCTTTTGATGAGAATTGTTAGAGTCGTAAATGTTTTGGTCAAACTTTAAACATATTACGTGCATCTCACTGCAACACTGTACAGCATCATGCTCAGAGAGTGTGTTCTTGACTCTCAGCTACTACCAGACCAAAGTTTAGGTCAATATCTGTCAAAAGGACTGAGTTATATTTGGTTTTATTTTTGTTGCTGAGTTATAGTCATCTTTGGACATGGAGGTCGATGGAGTGAGGACAGAGGACAGAGCGAGATGGAGGAGGGTGACTCGCTGAGGCTTTTGTGTTTTTGAGGTCAAATAGCTGAGGCAACTATATTAACTCCAACAGTTAATTAGCTGTAGATGTGCATCCAACAACTATTTTCTGCACGTTTATTTTAATTTGTCAAGTGGTTCATGAAATATTTTGGTAACAGACGGACACATAAACGTGTGTACTCACACAAGTCCAACTTCGCCTTTTGACGGCATGCAGTAATAACACATTTGCTTCACCAAAAAGGGAAATATAATGATTTGAAGACACCACCCTCTCATTTACCATTGTCTGACGATCTTTATCTGCACGTTTTGTCTGCTGAAATCTGAACGATAACATCTGGTATTTCAGATATGCAGATCTATTCATGTGCAGTGTGCAAAAAGACAAATGATACAGTGTAAAGATGGTTTTGGTGGCAGCAGAGTTCATTCCAGAGGCTAACCTCACTTCCATGTAATTTTGTTTCACATATTATGCATCATAAAGGTTACAGCTTCCTGAATTGAGCTTCTGAGGCATCTGACTGTGGCTACAACACACTATCTAAAGTGTGGCATAAGCTTGTTGAAAATAACACAATGCATTGTCCATTCAACCCCAAATAGTTCATTTGCTGCCCTCACTTCCTTGGAGAGGAAGAAGAGGAGGAAAGCCACATCAATGAAACAAAAGACTCAACGCACACATGTACTATGAAAACAGGAGTGGTTTGCCAAAGAAAAGCAAACAATTATTAATGCCACAGCGGGAGTCAAACTACTGACTGAAAGTCTGATGAAGTTGGGCAGAAAAGGTCGAGCACGTCTCACTGAAAGGTGAACATCTTCCTACTCGTAAGTTACTCATCACGACACAGCTGAGACTTTGAGTGCAGATATTTTTTCTATCATCTCTTTCTTTTTATGCACAGACATGTGTTTCTTAATTTTAAACAAATCTCTGTCGAAACTAATCATACTTCATTTAGAAAGTGAAGATTTTCCATATTCAGACTTATCTACCGTAATTATATAGTAAAAATCTTCTTTAAGTGGCAGCAAGAAAAAAAAACAACTTCCCCGTTAGGCTGTCACGATAACAAATTTTGCTGGGCGATTAACCGTCTCAGAAATTATTGCGATAAACAATAATATTGTTTGGAATTTGACAATAATTAGTAATTATTGTCAAATTTAAGAAGAAATTATGGTTAATTTTTGTGTGGAGTACCTTTTTTGACCAGTGGATGTCAGTACAAGACTGTTTGAACCGAAGGATGGATAGTGAGGGAACGAGCAGTGTCTCTTTAAGAAAAATAGGAGGGAGGCCCCTTGACGTGACATGGGCTGTCTCTCGTTCCTGGTTTTCGTTTCTCAAAATGGCGGACGCTCTGTGTTGTTTGAGCTCTTTAGCGTAGCATTTGTCACACAAAGCTTTGAATAAACAAATAAATAAATCAGTAAACAAGTTTTTAGCTTCTTTTTGCAGATAAAAACAACTTTTTAGACAAAGGCACGGGTTTCAACTGTGAATTTTGGAGCTTCGACAACACAGAGGTTTTTTCTTCGAGCTCGGCCTGTTGGCTTAGCTTCTCAGTTTAGCTCCTTTTAATTATCTAAAAATGCGATTTTGGACGGTTAAAACAGATTTTAACGAGAAAAGGAGGAGTTGAGCCTTTTGTCATCCAGTGTCTTCAGTAGAAAGAGACACAAACGATAAAGCCGATAAATGAAAATGAGGTAGATAATTTTCATGTATCATGCGATTCATCGATTTATTGTTTATCGCGACAGACCTACTCCCTGCAAAACTACTTTGGATTGATGCCGTTTGGTGCTGTCTGTAAGCTATAACAAATATTTTATTTCTTACAAGAGCTGGAAATTAGTAGAAAAATACTGTATGCGGTTGTGATTTTATTATTGCCATCAGCAAAAGTCAAAAAGTGATAATGTTTTTGCCCGTGTCTGGGTGCACGTTTTTGTCTGTCTGTTCAACTATCCCATGAATCAGTGAATCAACTGAAGCTTTCCAAAAGTAATTATTTGTACATAACCACTTAACTTTTGGAGTCAATTTAATTCAAAATGGCTACCACAGTTAATCCACATTAGCAACCTCCAAAATGGATTTAATGTCTAATTTATAGACATCAAGCTAAAATACGATGGTAGACGCTGAGAGTCATCCCCAACACATACGTGTTGTAACAAACAGTTAGTGCATTTCAGTCGGAACCTTCACAGACGCAAATAAAATTAAATGTTTCAGTTTAACCTTAATACATTTAAAAAAGTCATGAGTGTAATTTAACCTGAGCTTGGTGGAAGTTGTAAAACGAGAACATCAGCTGCTCGAGTTCACCTTTTAGATATACGATCCAGATGTCAAAGGAAAGTCAGATCGGTCGCGTACGATAAAATGAGAACATATACAAGTATTTACATAAACATACAATCTAGTTGCATAACAGGAATCAAGGATTCGTAACCATCTGACCACTTCATGCTGACCTTCCCTCATCATCAACCAACTCATTTTCTCAGTAACTGTGAGAAGGAGCCGACACAGACAGATGTTAACCACAACGCACCACCAGCAGTTTACTGCAGTCTTTGTTCGCTGAGACCGAGTTCATCAAGAAACCACTTTGAAGCTTTGTTTGCTGATTTAGTTTCTCATAAAATCCACCTCAGCGCCTTTATGAAGCAACTGCTGGCTGTCCAAACAAGCCAGATTGCTGAAGCAGGGTCACACGTCATGAGGTAACCATGCTGTTTAGATAACGCAGGATAAAGCCGTTTTTCTCCGTAGGTTTTTAAGGTCAATACTTTTCACCAGCAAACGGCTTCAAAAAAGATCCTACACCTAGGAGGCCAGTAAACGTGAGCCAAGAAGCTGCAGGTGTTTTTCTACTTAAACCAGGAAGTTCTTTAAAAATACACCACAACAGCTGCTTTGTTTCCATCTTACATCCTGAGCTAACTCGGTCCAGATCCAACAGTTCTTTTATTCTTTTCCTTGTTTAAATATTAACACGTTTTATTTCTCATTTCAGATTCAACCATAGCTGAAAACGACACAGTGGGACAACACGAAAGAGGTGCGTGTTTCTCAATCGGTCAGCTGGAGCAAAAGCCGTGGTGGAACCTGTTGGGTCTGTTCTCCTGTTGCAACTTCATTCACTGGGATTACCTAAACAGTTTGTCAGCTTTGTGATCTCACAGATTGAGTGTCGAACACATTCACATTCTGGATGTTTAACAATAAATGAAAATAAAATTATAAAAATTATGGAAAAACAGTAAATTGCTGCTCATAAAGGACCTGTTGTATAATTGGGTTGTCACATCTCATTGGAGCTGTCCTTTCTAACCCGAATCTGGAGCCCGGCCTGACCTGAATTATGGCCGGGCTGGTCCATAATAATGTGCTTAGTGTGTGGGCCGGGTCGGGCTTTTGATTGCGTCAGCGGACACGCATGGCTGACAATCCAGTTATATAGCAACATGGCTTGCCATACCATCACCAGCTACATGCGGCCATTTGACCGTGAAAGGCCTAGAAAGAGGTAAAAGGTTCAGTTAAGCTTCAGATGGACTACTGCTAGCAATCCATCAGCCCAAATGGACGTTCATTCAGCCGCTGCACTCAGCAAATACGCGGCGGCTGATGACCCAAAAAGGTGAGATCACAAAATATCCGACATGTCAAAGCATGGTCCGTGTCTGAATAATGCAGAATGCAAGCAGAAGCAGGGATTTAATGAGCTTTGACGGCCAAGAAAGGACAAACACCCCATCAGCTCTGAACTTCTGCCCCGTTTACTTAGCTGTGCAGAGCCACAGACCATTGATAAGCAGTCAAAGCTTAATTTAAAATGTCGGGGGGGGGGGGGGGGGGGGAACCTATGATTACTGTTAATTTGTTGGATTGGGTGGGGTTCGGAAATGATTGCTACGGGCTGGGGCCAGGTCGGATATTGACATTATGGACCCGAATGCAACTCTACATCTCATTAACTCATAAAGCAAATAAGATAGTAAAGGGTGAAAAGTCCTACCTGATGATGACACATTGGTTCTCCCGGTCAATCATCATATTTCTGTACATGTTATCTGCCAGAGCATAGATGTGAGGAGGGTTCTCATACTGAGCCTGAAAGTCAGAAAGAGTTTGATTAAAATCAACAATCAGGACAAAAATCAAGGTGTAGAAAAGTCTTTAAATACTTTGCATCTATTCGTTTTAGATCAACTCCCATTAACCATTAAAAGCAACAATAATTAATTCTTCATGACTAGATGACAAAAAGTTTGAATACTTTGCAAAACTGTGAAAAATAGTTACCAACAAAGTATTTAAATCATATTTTTAAGTGCAATTCATTCAAAGGCACCATCAATTATAAAGTTGAATAATGTTCTTGTAAATAGTTTTTATTCGACACCTGCAATAAATAGCTTCCATCGCTGTGTGGTGGAGAGCGTTCTGCACCTGCATCACCGTGTGGCACGGCAGCTGCACTGCTGCAGAGAGGACGGCTCTGCAGAGGGTGCTTAAGGCTGCACAGAAGACTGTATGAGGGGGAGGGCGCTCCGCATCATGAAGGACTCCACTCATCCTGCACACAGTCTGTTCCAGTCCCTCCCCTCAAGCAGGCGGCTGAAGAGCATTCAGAGCAAGACCACCAGGCTCAGAAACAGTTTCTTCCCTGCAGCTGTCAGACTGCTGAACTCGAGTTGCACTTAATTCAGCTTCATCTTACATTTTTTTTACTTTATTGTATATATATTTTTTTTATATACATACTATTTTGTATTTATTCATTTGTTAATTGTTAGGCTTCTTGAACTGGGACTTGAGCCTGAATTTTGTACCATAAACATGCAAATGTGAGCTGGTATGACAATTTTTAAAAATCCTTGAATCCTTGAAATACAAAAAATAAATCAATAAATAACACAGACATGCTAACCACTGTGTTACATTGCCTCTTATTAAAATAAAGTGTAGAGAACTGGAGACCAGTCGGTTTAGTTTGAGGACCTCAGCTTCTCAGTAGTTTTCAGAAGGTGACAGCTTTCAACCACATGCGTCAAAGTTCTTACTGTCGAGCCACGATGATGAGAAACGTACAGAATGCAGCAGCCTTGCTCAAACAAAGCTTTTCCATAAAAATACTTTGTTCAGAAAACCTCTTGCCCACAAAGTTTCCAGGTTAGACATCTTCCATTGTTTTTGTCCGTGTGGAAATAAATATGGTTCGATTGTGTAAAATCCTCTGCAACAGCCAACTGATGACTTTAGCATGAGTGACACTGAATGTGCTCACAGTGTGTTTTCAAAGCCTTTCAGTGGTTTCAGGAGTCGAGCCCACGCTCCGCGGGCCGGCCAACAGAAGAGGCAGACCTGAACATGCTGTTCTGTGAAGGCGCTGCCAAGCACACTCAATGGTCGACTCGAGTTTCTGACAGAAACATCTGCGCCAACCAGCTGGAAAGTTTGCACCGAACCAGACTTTTACCACCTTCGATCTGCAGACACTATGATAACAAGTCCGTATGTTCTAATTGCGCCGTTTTCCTGGTTATATCATAGCTGGCGTGTACTTACCGCTCCCTGATACATCTCGATTTCTTTATCTCCGAAGTACGGCATCTGCTTGAAGGGGTTGACAGAAATAAGCACAGGACCGATGTATGTCTGTTAAAAACATGTGTTAAAGATTGCACAAACAAATAAGAGCAGTTACACCATGTTACAAACAACGCTTTGAAAGAAAACATGATGAAGCTGTATAAAAGAGAAACGACTTAATGCACGACATTGGATTTTTGGTCGATATCCGATATGCCAATACGTTCAAACTTATTTGGTCAATAACCGATGCAGATAATAAATATGACGACTAACCAGTGTGGAGCGTACAGGTTCAAAACACAGATCATCTGGTGTTGAAAGCTACTGAATAGCAGTGGGTTTTAAAGGGGACTTGAAAACCGAGAGGGAGGAGGCCTGTCTGACAAGCAGAGGTAACTCGTTCCAAAGTCTTGGTCCTGCTACAGAGAAGGCCCTGTCACCTCTGCGCTTAAGACGAGTTCCTGGAACTGTGAGGAGCAACTGGTCCGCTGACCTCAGGGAACGTGGTGGGACATACGGCTGTAGCAAATCAGAGAGATGGGGGGGGACTGTTCAGCGATTTGTAGACATACAGGAGTATTTTGAACTGGATTTGAAGGTGGACCGGTAGCCAGTGCAGTGATGGAATGGCCAATGTCCAATATTCACTTTATCGCTAATATCGGCCGATACCAATACCGTGCCATTGATATTGTGCATGCCTAGACTGAACCATAAAAGAGATGCACAGCAGAACGGAAAAACCACAGAACAGTCAGAACAATGTTAGAATTTGTGCAGCCATGTTGTCAGGTGCTACGTGGCGTCTGAAAAACTGAGCCAAGAAGCCTGATGTTCAGGCTGTAATCATTAAAATCTAAACTAAATGTGTGGCTCCAGCATATAAACACAGGAATAAGTGTACAGGTCCTTCTCAAAAAATTAGCATATTGTGATAAAGGTCATTATTTTCCATAATGTAA